CAAATTGTCAGCTGTGGCTAATCTTGATGGCCCCGCCAAGTGGACAAATTGCAGCCGAGCTGGGCGCCCGTTTTTGCCAAGTTACGCATTTATGTGCAGTCTATTGTGCCTGGCATTCGAACGTTACCTGAATTTCAATTTCTGCATTGTCCAGAGGCCGATGATGAGTTAAATCTTAAACTGCGTCAGTTTCCAGTTTCCATTTGCATTTTATTTCCACTGGTTGCGTTTGGCAATTTCTTCCAAACTTTTTGCTAGGTCGGCTTGGGTGGGACTCGGTTGGGCTGAGTTGCTATTCCTGGCTGGCAAATTTCACTTTTCAACTTTATTCGAGCACGAAATTGACGTGGCAGACGCACAAGGCTTTTGCCGTCTATTCCCTGGAGGCACTTTAAGCGGAGTTTTGCCCACCAAAAGAGTTTCGGCGCAAATGTTTCTATGTCTAGCCAGGCTGTAAACAAATAATATTAACTTTTGGCAGACACATGTACATGTGGATGGATGTGTGTAGATGTATTGGGAATAATTATAGATTTTTATATTATACTTTGAGGCATAGTAATGGAAATTTTTAATAACTGTAACTTCATATTGTGGTAAAAATATTTAAGACTGGCGTCTTTAAATTAAATTATATAATACATAAGTATATGTTGTCTTTCATTATTAAAATATGTTTTTAGATATGTATATAATAAATATATTATAATAAATTTTAAATTAATATTTTATTAAAATTTTTTGTATTATACTATACTACTATAATTATATTATATATTAAAGATTTGTATTTCTTTTTATGATAATAATTACATATTTTACGAATTTGTAACTAAAATTATATTACATTTTTTATGTACACATATTTTTTTTTTTATTTATTATTTTTTATAAAAATATAAATATTGACTTCAAGTATATATGCAAACCAGCTTCGGTCTTCAATTTCTTTCCTAAGATATTTTGAGACTGTTTCATAAATAAAGAATTTATACACGACAGTTGCCTGTAATGTTAGAACTGAAACAGATTTCGAGAGAAAACCAAACGAACTTATTTGAATGCTTAAGAATTGTTCGTCATTTGAGATTTATATGAGATTTGCCATACTCAAACCATCGTGGCGTGACATAATAGATCTGGGCACCTGCCACCTCCGTTGGTTGCTGCTGTAATCGCAATCGCAGCTGATAGCTGCATGCAGCTGTCACAACAAACCGCCCGTTAACCCGGCTGCTGTTGGCCAATTTATTTGGCCCCGTTGGCGGCTGGACACGGCCTGGAGCCACAAGTCGCCCGGCCAGTTGCTGACAGCGACAGGCCGCATATGAAATCTATTAGTTCAAACCAACTGCAATTGCTAACTGCCCAAATAGCCGAATGGACAACTGTGGAAACTCTGGGAACTCCTACTGCGTAGCCAGTTTCTGTTTTCGTTGCCTGTCCGCGCCACAGAGCAAACAAATTTAATAAAGCACTGCAGTGGCTGGCTGCCTAGGCTGGGCTGGGGTGGACTGGGCTGGGCAGGCAGCGAGTCGTGTGCTGTGAATTATGTGCAACAAATAAATTATATCCAGCTCTGTCATTTGATTAAAATGTTTAACTGCCAGCCGCCAATGGAAAATAAATTGCACTGATGTTGTACGCCGACGGGCCACAAGGCAGGCCAATCTGTTGCATGCAACATTGCAGGGAGCCAACATTTGTCGCCGAAGCGAAGCTGCTCTCAAATGGTATTAATAAAACTTGTTTAAATATTGATCGTAATTTGCCTAGCTCCATTAATGCCTCTGAAACTGTGGGCCAACTCTTCTGCAAAATCAAAACATGAAACTTGAGTTAGGGCAGCTGCATGACAAAAGCTGAATGCTGCAAAACTCTATGTATGGTACAACAATGCCAAAGACTGAATAATATGAATTCCTTGCTCAAGAAATAGAAACATAAAACACAAATAACACATAATAAGCATGATTCACTGAAATATAAATGCTCTTAGTTTAAATCTCTAGCAAATTTATGGCTGAAGCTAAATGCTCTGACACTGCCTGACAGAAGCTGAATGATATGACACTCAATGTGTGGTACATCTATGAAACTTGTGGGAATATTTATCAGAATTTGCTCGCCACATATTAGGTATAAACTTATCGATGTATGGTACATCAATGCCAAAGAGTGCATATTATGAAGCTAATGTGGGCGCTGACCTAAGTTACATAAAGAAAAAATCTATAAGTATAATCTGTCAACATATCAATCCATCAGTTTATCAACCAATCGATTTCGACGAGTAATACTCGATTTCGAGAATTCCTCGATGTAGTTATAACTATTCGATAACTATTTAACGAAATCTATGAAACATGTGGAAATATTGATAATATTTGCTTGAAACTTGACTTCGGGCAGCTGCATGACAAAAGCTGAATGCTACAAAACTCGATGTATGGTACATCAATGCCAAAGACTGAATAATATGAATTCCTTGCTCAAGAAATAGAAACATAATACACATAAATAACACATAATAAAAATGATTCACAGAAATATAAATGCTCTTAGTTTAAATCTCTAGCAAATTTATGGCTAAAGCTAAATGCCCTGACACTGCCTGACAGAAGCTGAATGATATGGCACTCAATGTATGGTACATCCACTAACCAGTGGTACATCTATGAAACTTGTGGATATATTCATCCAAATTTGCTCGCCACATATTAGGCATAAACTTATCGATGTAAGGTACATTAATGCCAAAGACTGCATATTATGAAGCTAGTGTAGGCCCTGACTTAAGTTACATAAAGAAGAAAACTATAAGTCTAATCTATCAACATATCAAGCCATTAGTTTATCAGCCAATCAATTTCGATGAGTAATACTCGATTTCGAGAATTCCTCGATATAGTTATAGCTATTCGATAACTATTTAACGAAATCTATGAAACATGTGGAAATATTGATAATTTGCTTGAAACTTGAGTTAAGGCAGCTGCATGACAAAAGCTGAATGCTACGAGACTCAATGTATGGTACCACTCGGCATTCTATGGTTAGTAATGGTACATCAATGCCAAAGACTAAATAATGTGAAGCCTGTGGGAAAATTTATTCTCAGTGCTGACGAAATAGAAAACATAATCATGATTCACAGAAATATAAATGCTCTTAATTTAGGTCTTCTATATGCGATTAGACTGCATGACAAAGCTGAATGATATGACACTCGACAGATGGTATAATTATAAAGCTTTCAGATCCCAATTATTAAATTGAAATGCAAAATAACGGGATGAGTTATCAATTTTTGCTCGATATCTGCGCTGTATACTAAATTAGTCGGATTATTTGCCAGAAAGGCAAACTTCAAACTTTTATAGTTTTGGATTTAATTTAATTATTATTATAATCAATATATATTACGACCTTGCCTCCGCTCCAGTGTTCAAATAAATTTTTAATTTATTCATAATAATTTATTATAATATTATTCATTATAATTTATTATAACATGCAAACAATGTAAAAACACAATAAAATTTTATTTCGAAATTACAGAAACAAGACAGTTGGATTTTATTGATCATTTTGAATTCTGCAAATCGATTCTTCTTGTTCACACTAAAGATATCACATCGTAAATATGAATTTATTACAACTAGTTATAATTCTGCTATACACCTTATACTTCTAAAAACCAATCAATTTTCCATGTCCATGATATGTTACAAGCCTAAAAGGCGTTCCTAAAGAGAAACATACAAAATAATTTGTAAAATGGTAGCTCACGTGAGAATATATCAATATCACAGTAATTTGAGCGAATCGCTCTATTTAGGTACCACTTTCCGTAGGCCAACTTTCTTGGACGGCTTGAGCACGAAGAACGAGCACATTAGCGACTCATCGACGGACATCATGGCGCCGGCATTATCGAATTCGCCGCAGTAGTTCGGGGCCGAGAAGATGGTGATTAGCTGGCGCTTGGCAAAGAACTCGTAGCCATCCTCGACGACCTGATGGGCGCGGCAGACCAGATCGAACTTGAAGCGATGCACAAACTTGCCCACCGTGTCCGCACCGAAGGTGACGCTCACGCCGCGATCATTGTCGCTCCAGCCCATGATCTTGGCATCCGGATCGGCCCAGAGCAGGTCGCAGAGCAGGCCCTTGTCGGGCACCTCGCAGGGGCGCTGCAGCTTCATGATTTGCGCCATGCTGTTCAGCTCGGGACTGAGGCCGCCGTGACAGCAGAAGATCTTGGTGTCCACAATGGCCGCCACCGGCATGCAGTTGTAGCAGTCGACAAAGGTGCGCCACAGCTTGATCGTGTAGCGCCGCTTGCACTCGTCGTAGAAGCCGTAGATGCGATTAATGCCGGCGCTCTCGTGATTTCCACGTAGCACAAAGAAGTTCTGCGGAAATTTCACCTTGTAGGCCAGCAGGAGGCACAGCGTCTCAATCGATTGCTTGCCACGATCAACGTAATCGCCCAGAAACAGATAGTTCGAGGCCGGCGGATAGCCGCCGTAGTCGAACATGCGCAGCAGGTCCGTAAACTGGCCATGCAAATCGCCGCAGATCTTCACCGGCGCCGAGAGCTCCAGCAACATGGGCTGCTGGAGAAAGACATCTCTGCAGCGCAGGCAAAGCGCCCGTATATCCGCCTCGGTGAGATGCAGCTGCTTAACGCGACGCACCTCGATAATTGTCAATATCATCTGATCAATGTTCGCCGAATCGAGCATGCCGGAGGTACGGGTCTGCTGGCCATTGTGTGGTGGTGTCACCGCGTGTGTCATTCCGAAATTCGCCTTCGATTCAGATACAATCGCAACTCCTTGAGCATACGAGATTTTGACTAGATAGCACAATTTGATCGATTGCAAACATATGAGATGAGTTCAGGAAATTCGCTTGTGTAATTGAAATGGTATGAAATGTGTGTTCGATGTGACAATTATTCCTGACAGATGCCGCACGGCATCTGAGCCGTTGGGATTTGATGTGCTCAGTTTATGATTAGGGCACTGCGCTCTTTCGGCTGAAGTCGGCGCTCCTTCGATGAACTCTTCTTGGATGGCCGCAGCACGTCAAACGTAATCACCAGATCCTTATCGACGCCCATTGAAGCTCCGGCATTATCGAACGTGCCGCAGTAATTGGGCGCCGAGAATATGGTGACCAGTTGACGCTTGGCAAAAAACTCATAGCCATCCTCGACGACCTGATGGGCCCGACAGATCAGGTCAAAGTCAAATTTGCGCAGGAACTTCTCAACCACATCGCGTCCGAAGAGAAAACTAACCCCACGATCGCTGGCCGTATAGCCGAAGTTCTGAATGTCCGGATCGCTCCACAAAAGATCACACATGAGACCCTCCTCCGGCACGTCGGTGGGGCGAGTCAGCGCATCAATGTCGTCCAACTTGACTAGGCTTTGACTCAAGCCGCCGTGACAACAGAAGATCCGATCCGATATAATCGCTGCCACCGGCATGCAGTTGTAGCAGTCGACAAACGTCTTCCACAGCTTGATCGTGTAGCGGCGCTTGCACTCGTCGAAGAATCCGTAGGCCCGATTTATCGCCTGCGACTCGTGGTTGCCGCGCAGCAGGAACATTTTACTGGGATAGATGAGCTTGAGGGCCAGCAAGAGCGTTATCGTTTCCACCGAGTTCTTGCCCCGATCCACGTAGTCGCCCAGAAAGAGATATGAGGCGTCTGGCGGATATCTGCAGTGCTCTAGCATTCTCAGCAGATCTGAGAACTGGCCATGTATATCCCCAACGACGCGCAACGGCGCCTTCACATGCAGCAGCATCGGCTCATCGAGGAACAACTGTCGCGTCGCGTGGCACAAGTTGGTGATATCCACTTCGAACACTGGCTGATGCAGCTGTTTGCTTGACCGGAACCCCTTCAGCTTCTTTATAATGTCGATGACACAGTTCCTCATATCCACTGAGAACGACGAGTCTCTGCGGGTGTCCGATAAGCCTTGAGCTGGCGCCCCCATCTTCAAGTCGCCTTTCATTTATTGTCTTTTCTTTTATTTTTTCAAGTTAATATTTGAAAGTCTAAACTGAGATCTGTCAAACTGAAACAAATTAAAATAATCCGATCTGAATGCAATTAGAAACATTTCAATTACTTGGCCTTAGAGCAATAATAGCAATAATATTAATAATAATTATATTCATTTAGAAACTCATTTATATATTAATTAAATTTCATGTATTAAATAAAATTAAATTTCGTTGAGTACTCTTTGAATTTGTGAAGAATTATATATTCTAGGATTTAAATTCATTTTGTATTTTTTTACTCGAGGAACAGTTAATTTAAACAAATCCCAAGATGTAACTCTACTCAAATCGAATAAAAAACTCAGAATGTTCTTAATATTTCATATACATATATATATATAATACAAAGGCAACTGCAGCGGGCCGACTTAATATATTTTCGCTTATCATATGATATGTTTTCTCTGAATTTCTTGCATATATTATTTTTATAATTACTTGCATCTTTTTTAAATTTAATTTTAATTTATAGTAAAGGTGTGCTGCCTTCCCATGCAAGTCAGCTTGATATATTGTGCTTGCCATCTTTTAATTTCCGTTTTCTCGCACCTCAAACGCGACAAGTTGTCAATGCCATTTGTGGCTGGGCAATGAATCCATGCATCCACACACTGGATGGCCCACACACACACACACACACGCACACACACACACATACTCACATATGTCATCAATGTGGCTGACAGTGCAGCATTTCATCATTTGCTGCAATTGCTGTAGTCGCAGCCGCAGCAAGTTTATTGTGAGAGGTGCGTACGTGCCTTTGTCGTTTATTAGTTTACGCTGGACACGGTCGGTGTCCAAAGGAAATTAAAATAATTCAAGCATTAAATTCAATTTCATTTTTGCAGCTGCACAAAATTACGACATGCGCAAACTCAAGAGATTATTTTATGAACGCGAATTGCTTTTTCTTGAAACTGAGAGAATTTATCTTATATACTTTTTGGATTCATGAGCAGAAGTGAGAACTCAGAATATGTGTGTGTGTGTGTGTGAAAAATATCTTCAATATAATAAGACGATTAGTTAAAAGAATAAGTGATTATTCCAAAGCTTGTGTGAATTATCTTGAGTAAATAGGCAAATCTAATAATCCTACAAAAAATTGTTGAACTTATACGAATCAAAAGGATTAGCTATTAAATTGCATTTAATGTATTTATTTTTATGTTATTGCATAAATTATCTGTACATTAAAATAAAATAAATACT